ATGAAAACAGGTTCACATCATCAATCTTGATATTTGTACAAAGCAACCCTAACAAGATAGTACAACAATGTCTGTTACTCCAGGTGTACACAACAAAATCATCAATCCATTGATGATAAAAAGAATACTGTGACAGACACATTCTTAAGGGCTGGCTAAGGGTCAGTCATAGTTCTCTTGGACACATGCAAGGAGTAAGTCACCGAGCCTGCTGTGTGAACTCTTTCCTCATAACACCCAAACATGAGATTTCCCTATTGCTGTCCCCTGCCAACTTGAGGTACAGGTCTCAGTGATGGAGCAGTGAAGGATGGTTAGGGATTAGGCACCATTTGGTCTATAATCACATATAACCAGGAGCCATCTATTTTGATGGAAATTACTCTCTTTTTCATTTAAAAATGTGAATAGATACCCCTGCTTTTCATAGGCTTGCTTTTTCCAGATTATGTCAGCTTTCCCAGACTCTTAGAATAAAATACAAAGTCTTTACCATGATATTACAGCCCTACCTGATCTCCCCAACCCTCGCTACCTTTCTGACCTCATCTCCAACTGCTGTCCCCCTTCATCCCTCTGCTCCAACCACCCTGCCTTTGCTGTTGCTGCTGTCTTTGCCTGGAATGTTCTCAGAGATCCCTCCGACTCACTCCCTCACCTCTTTAATGTTTCTCTCAAGTATCACCTCATGAAGGAGGCCTTCCTGACCCTTTAATCTGAAGCAGCAACTGCTGCCATTCTCTGTCCTTTTCCTGCTTCATTCTTCTTCACATCTGACAATATGTCATCAACCTGAATATGTCTTCCTTTTTGCCTGCCCCTCCCCCATCCAGACTGTGTGCTCCGTGGGGGCCTGGACTGTCTCTAGCTCACTGCTGTCTCTAGTAGCACAGTGCCTGGCACATGATGGGTGCTCCATAGGGGCCTATCAGTGAATGAATGAATGACTATGATCTAGATACAGACACCTATACATACATAGATAGATGTGTGTGTGTATGTGTGTGTGTGTGTATATATATATATATATATATATATGTATCTGTGTAGATAGATAAATAGAGACAGATATAGAGAAGGAAGGTTTTTGGGAACACTATAAGATTCTTTCATCTCAGCTCCAGACTGTAGAGGAAAAATGCTCAACTAAATTCTTAATTTTTCTTTCAGGATTGAAGTATGCAAATGTATCTAATATAACATTTCTTTTATAAATTTTATAGATGATTTTGGTTTCTTTCTTTGCTGATTAGAATGAACACTTCTGTAAAAGAAACTGAACAACACAGAAAGGACTACAGTAGAACGTGAAAGCCCTCTGGACTGGAGGCAAGGGAGAGGGAGGGGAGCGAGGCGGGGAGAGCATCCTGGGCTCTGTGTCGGGGTGGGCCGGGGAAGCCGGGGAACCGCGGCTGCATTAGAGCAGCTGAGTCCACAGGCTTATCAAAATGTCCCCACAGATAAACTGGCCACATCAGACTGTCTTGCTTTGCTGTTTATATCTTTTGCCTGTTTTTCTAGGAAAATACCTTTAAGTGTTTGTATTTTTTAAGTTACGAAGCTCGTTGTATATTAAAGAGCCTTTTGCCTGTTAACTTTGTTACAATTTTACCCCCAAACTGACGTGAGGCCACCCTGCAGGAACATGTGACAGGAATATGCAAATCACAGGAATGCTAGGGTAAGCATATGTGTATGCATAGAAAGATGCCTAGTCCAGGATGAGGTGCTCCACACTGTTAAGAGTGGTAGTTTTTGGATGATTGTATTTTGGGTAATTTTTACCTTCTTCTTTCCACTTTTGTGTATACTTTAAATGTCTTATAATGACTATGAAATTTTTTTATAGCCAGAAAAAAAGAATCTATGTATTTTTGAAAAATAAGTATAGTTTTCATCACAGAAAATAATAATCCCACTATATTCTGTGTTGATAAAACCACAGCTTAGCCTGTTGTCTCCTGCCCCGGAAGAAGCAAGTGGCCGCATTGTGAACTGCCTATGGAGAGGACCACATCTCGGGAAACTGGGGACAGCTTCAGAGGCTGAGAGTGGCCTCTGGCCAACAGCCAGCGAGACACTGAAGCCTTCGTGGTACAGCTACATGGAAGTGAATTCTGCAACACCTTGAGTGAGGTTGGAAGTGAATTCTTCTCTAGTCAAGCCTCAAGATAAAAACACAATCTGGCTGACACATTGATTGCAGCCTTGTGAGACCCAGAGCCCAGGACCCATTTTAAGTCATGCCTGGGCTCCTGACCTGCAGAAACTGGGAGGCAGTAAATGTGTGGTGTTTTAAGCTGCAAATGTGTGGCAATGTTTCTTATGCAGTGTTAGAAAACTAATACATCCTTCCACCAGCTGTGTATGCGAATTTGAGATACTCTCCACCAAACCCCTTGTATTGACAGTCCTTTTTACTTTGGCCATGCTGGTGGGTATGTGTTGTGATTTTAATTTTAATTTGTTAGATGACAAATAATTTTGAGCACTTTTTCATATGCTTATTGGTCATTTGGATATACTTTTTCGTGCAGTGTCTTACATATTTTTCCCATTAAAAAATGAGTTGCCTATCTTTTTGACTGCTGAATGTAGGAATTCTTTCTTTATACTGGATATGAGATTTTTGTAGGATACATGGATTAAAAATCTCCTCTCCCACCCTGGAGCTTGCATTTTCACTCTCTTAATTGTGTCTTTTAATGAAAATAAAAATGTTCTCAGTTTTATTTTTTATTTATTTGTTTCCCCCCAGTTTTATTGAGATATATTTGACATAATGTTATATTAGTGATGTGAACTTCACCTTAATAAAAAAGGCCTTCTGACTCTAAATACAATGATCTTTTCATTCTCTAAGACCAGATGTTTCTCTTGGGAGAGTAGAAAGAGGAAAGAACATTTTAGTTCAACATAAGTGAGAACTTTCTAACAGAGTTATCAAATAGTGTAATGGGCTGACTTGTGATCTATACTTATACTGGAAGGATTTTAGCAGAGATTAGACAAATGTCTGAAATGAGTATTATAGAAGGGACCTCTAAATCTCCTTCCAGCTTGAAGATTCAAGGACTCTATTCTCTTGAATACGTTATCTTTTGGAGAGATCAGAATTTGAGCATAACAAAAGACAGAGTATAATCAAATACAGGTCTGTGTGGTAGAGATTACAAATAGAAGGTGATTGAAAAGTAAAATGGTTGAATATATATATGTATAACCGAATCATTATGCTGTACACCAGAAATTAACACATCATTGTAAATCAACTATACTTTATTTAAAAAAATAAAAGTAAAATGGCCAATCTTGATAAACTAGATTTTTTTATCTTGTAGTTTTAGAACAATGTTGGAAACAAACCAAGCAAACTGCAAATGTGTTAAATAATGCGTGCTATGTGTTTTTAATGTTTAATTATATTTTAAAATTCATCTATTGTAGAACTTGCAAAATAAGTCATTTGAAAGCAAAGCTCCTTTCAACAAAGTCTACCTAGGTGGTTGGTGAGATTAGCTTGTGGTGGCAGTGGCTTAGGAGGCAAAAGTGCAGTGCACTCTTGTAGAAATTTTAAGATAGTGATTTGCTCACATAGAAGGCCATAATTCTACAAGGTTTGGCAATCTGGATGTGAGGGACAGTCCCAGGCCACAGCCACAGCTGGACATACAGTTTATGTCACTGGAGAGAGTGTAGTCCTTCCAAATAAGCAAGACTCTAAGCTACAACCCCCTTAGTCTGGCTGGAAGGGAATACTTTGCTGAGATGTAAATTGAAGGGTATTCACATTTTGGAATGCATGTACAGGTTTCTCACATTATCTCTGTTTTTGGTAAGGAAGTTTCTGAAGGTAACAATATAGCATTGTGGTTAAATGTCTGGGCTCTAAAGTCAGAGATGAACTTGAATCCCAGTTTTGCCACTTACTAAGTTACTCTCTTAACTTCTTAAGACCTCAGTTTTCTTATATGTCAAAAAGGGGAAATACAAGATTTGCAGGTACTGACTACTATATATAAAATAGATAAACAACGCATTTATACTGTATAGCACAGGGAACTATGTAGCAGCCTATAATGAAAATGAATATATGTATGACTGAAACATGCTGTACACCAGAAATTGACACAACATTGTAAACTTCAAAAAAAAAAAAAACAGTGCTACAGCGCCTGTCTCATAGAGTAATTGTGCGCACATGAAGCTCTGGACACCCTTGGTTAAGTGTTCCGTAATATCAGCTAACATTATTTGTGCCGCCTGAAGAAATTTTTTAATGGGGGAAAAACTAAGATGTGAACTAAAATGGGAAAGATCCTTTCGGAACAAAGGTATTCGGAGCATTGATTCATTTAACGAATAATCATTTAGGGCCGTATGCTTTGCATTGACTTACTTTTACTTATACTCAACATATAAACCATAATAGTCTGTATTCTTGCGTGATTACGAAAACTTCACGCGAGAGGCTTAAAAATTACGTGTAGCCCATTGGCTAAAGTAATCACCCAGGGTGCTTTGCAGTTATCCCTTCCGGCTCTCCGCTCTCGGGGGCTAGAGCTGGAAGCCGGTCACCGGGCCCTCTCGTCATTTGCTGGCTGATTGTGAGGTACAGATTAACTCAGACTCCCTAGTTGGTATTTCTACTCTTCAGACTGTTTATCTGCAACTTTCTATGGTTCCCTTTTCTGTTTCCAACTTGGTTTTTCTCAACCGTATGCTTTCAGCGTTTGGCGCCCAGGAGGGGCTGAGGTTTATTTGCTTACAATCAAAGATTAGTCTTTTTTTTTTACCCCCTTGAGCTCAGGCACCTCTGGAAATAGTACAGCTCACCGTCTTTCCCTCATTTTCCCACTTTTAAGTCCTTTGGCACCCCTCCCCCCACTTTCCCTCCTTTTTGGTGCTTATCGCGCACGCGCCCCGCTCCGCCCCTTCACTCCGCTGGCCCCGCCCCTCTCCCCCGCCCCCTCCTTACCCTAGCCGTGGTATGCGTGAGGTGGGGGTTGACGCGGTGACGGGGCGACATCTCTGCGCCCGCGTTAGCTGCAGAAGCGGCCAGATTCTCACACCTTAGCTCCCTCTCCCTGCACTTCCCTAAAGTCAGGTTGCCCCTCTGGGTCTTTGAGCCTGCAGCCCGCCTGACTCCCGTGTTAGGACCCCCGTTGTTTCCGCCTCTTATTTCGCGCCTTCTTTTTTAGGCTTGAAGGGGGCGGGGTTGGAATGTCTGCGCCACCACCGTTGCCGAGGCGACGACTTGGTTACTTCCGTTGGTCTCAATGCTTCCGGGTTGGCGCTGCGGTGTTGTTTCCGAAAGTGGGAGCCTCGGCTTCCCAGTCGTCCGATGAGCCTGAGCAGGTGAGGGGGAGCTCCTGGACTTCCAGGCTGGGGAGCGGGGCTGGGCCGCGCCAGGCCGCGCGGGGCCGGGCTGGCCTGGTTCCCGGCCTGGGAGGGGCTTAACGGTCCTTTGGTCTCTCTCTCCCCTCAGCTGAGTCCCTTCCCTGTCTTTCACTCTTCTGGCATCGGTGGTTTTACTTCTTCTTCGATTGAACCCTGCTTCCTCGACCCCCCTGGGAGGCCGCCTCCTTCAGGCGCCTCCCTTCTCTCCACGAACTCGCTCTGACAGCTGAGGAACTGGCAAGATCCTGCTACCCAGAGGGTGAATGGGTATCTTTCCCGGAATAATCCTAATTTTTCTAAGGGTGAAGTTTGCAACGGCGGCCGTGATTGTAAGCGGAGTAAGCAAACACCTCCATTGTATTAGTGTGAGGGATGCTGTTGAAAGATGCTCCCCATTCAGTTTCTAGCCCCTGCCACTCCTTGAGGTCAAGGCCTTGAAGGCATCTATTAAAATGCAGTTCAGCTAACTAATTGGGATGACAGCTATTAGCAACATGAATTAGTTTCTCAGACAAGGTAACAGAGGGGACATTTGTAGTTTTCTGCCAGTGTTTCCTCTTTTTTTTTACCTCAGGTTAGGGATTCATAGAGTCATCATGAACTCTTCCTTCGCCTTCACTCCCTACATCATCAAGTTCCTTTGTATCTCCATTTTAGAAGTTTATTTCTAACCTCGCTGCCAATAAACATCTTGTCTGCTTTACTTCACATCATCCTAAGCTACTTTCCCTGCCTCTCCCTATTGTAATCCACTGCTGCTGCAGATCTAGCAAGTTAACTAAATGTGGTGGATTTCCCCAAGTCACTTTCCTATTGAGAAATTTACAGTATCCCTCCCACCCTGCCACACACACTTTGGTTTCAAGCTTTTCAACGTGTTCCATGTCATACTTCTTGTCTGATATTATTTCGACCAGATACGATAATTCTCTGTTCCAGTTAGGTTGCATATTCTGTCTCAGAACAAACCACACTAATGCTTGCATCCACATGCTGTGCTTTCCCCTACATTTGTGTCTGTCCATCCTATTTTCCTCGTACCCTCTCCCTTACCTACACCTGTCCAGAGTCTACCTGCCCTCTGTCAAGTCCCACTCTAAGTTCTCTCACCTCCATATATCTTTTCAAATTATTCCAGACCATGTGGATTGTCTCCTTTTCCATGCTTCTCCTGCTCTTATAGTTTGTACTATATAATTTAGCACTTATTTTTTTTCTAAATGAACTAGTTTGACGACTTCTACCAGATTATAAGCTCTTGAAAGGTAAATACTGTATTTCATACAACTTGTATCCCCACACCCATCTCCTAGATTATCCAGGAAATATAAATATTGTCATGGTGTTAGAGCATATGTTATGTGTGTGTGTGTTTTTTTTTTTTGATGTGACATTTATACCCATAGCACATTACAGATGTAGGCATTTAGTGCCTTCGATAAACATTTGTTTGAGTCTCCATTATTACCTTCTGAATCTGAGAATCTCTAATGTGTACTCTTTCTTAAAGGAGAAAGCAAGAAAGGCACCTAGATTTTTCTGACCAGATCTTTGGAGTAGTGTAACAGGGTTATGTAACTTGTATTCTGGGACGTTCTTCTCACTGTTTAGGCTATCAGATTTTCCCTAGTCAGACTTCAAAATACATGCCTGCATTTTGAAGACATTTTTCATTGGCTTCTTTATACAATAAAAATATTTAAGGTACTGTATTTCTATTTTAACTCAGATATGACTTCTCTTCTTTTACCCATATCTGGGGATAGCCCCAACAAATCATAAATCATTTTTAGGGTGCTTGGGGGTATTTTACACAAGTAATTTTCTGCAATAGAAGCCAGGGAAGAGAATTAGTATGGAGAGAACCTCTGAGAATCAGCAAAGTGTTATGTACAGAGTGTCTAGCACTGGTCAGGTCCATCAAGTTAACTGTCTGATTTTCCCTGTAACCTTTTACATACAGGCTGTATACATAGATAAAGGACATCAAACTGGAACCAACCAGGTATTTAGTGGATGTGAACCCAATTCTGCAAAATATTCTAGGAGTTATAAAAAGTACTGTGAGGCATAGTATCTGCCTTCAGGGATCTTACCTAGTTAAGAGAGGTAACATGGAGGCAATGAGAAGATAAACCTCATGCTAGCCATTATTTGTATGCCTGAGATTTAAGGTATAGAAGACATAAATAAAGGCTAAAAGACCATTACACAGCTGTAGAATAGGTATGACATAACATGAATGCATATATACAGCCTATGTAAAAGACTTGCAGATTTAGATGACATTTTAAAGATTCAGTAGTGTGAGATGGCCCCCACAAAAGAAACTGCAGTTTTCAGTTGTAGTAATTGAAGTATAATACAGAGAATGACAAAAATGAACATAAATATTTAACTTAAAGAAGATAAGATGTAGGAGAACGTGATAGCTGTCTTTAAATATTTGATGGAGTCCCCTAGGGAAAGAGAACAAATTGTTCAATATTACCTTCAGAATATGGGTGAGAACTAGAGGAAGGCATACTTTTTGGTTCAGTATGAGGTAGGAATATCTAAAATCAGACTTAATCAAGATGATACAGGACTTCATAACAAACAAGATTCTTTCCTAACATTAGAGGGAAAGGAATTTTACTGTTAGATGGAAATAGGGAGGTGACAGTGGTAGCAGGGTTGAACTCGACCAGTGGTCCCCAGACTTCTAGATTTCATGGGCCAATAAAATTTAAGTGAAAGTGTGGGGACAGGGCACAAATTAGGGTAGCCAATCTTATTTTGCCAAATAAGAACACTGAACAGAATCAACTATCAACTACTATTATCATTCCATACAAGAAAGGTGATTTTTAAAAAATGCTCCAAGAGTAGGAAGAACATGATCTTCTAATGGTTCTTTAAATTAAATACATTTAGCTGAGAAAAAGGTACTAGGTACCCTTATTTTCTTCATTTCAACTCAGAATTGTGAAAATTTCATTAAGGAACTACTGGGCTAACTGACCTAAGATTGTGACTGGTCTTTCTGCTCCCTACTATGGCTTTGCCCCCTGCCTTTAACTGCTTATTATTGCTCCCTGAACCCTGAGCACATCTTTATTAAAAGCCTGGTTAGCACGTAGGAAAGTCAGGCTTCTGTACTGAAAGGAGTTGAAAGAAGTTGGAAAGAGAAAGCCTTGGAGAGAAGCATAGCAGCCATTTGAAATGTTTCACTATTAGGGGAAAGCTCTAAATTGGTGAATGGAGAGGGCTTTTTTAAAAACTGAAGTATAGTGGATTTACAGTGCTGTGTTAGTTTCTGGTATACAGCATAGTGATTCATTTATACATACATATATTCTTTTTCACATTCTTTTTCATTATAGTTTATTACAAGATATTGAATATAGTTCCCTGTGCTATACAGTAGGACCTTGTTGTTTATCTATTTTATATGTAGTAGTTTATATCTGCTGATCCCAAGCTCCTAATTTATCCCTCCCCTCCCCTTTTCCCCTTTGGTAACCATAAGTTTGTTTTCAATGTCTATGAGTCTGTTTCTGTTTTGTAAATAACTACATTTATCATTTTTTAGCTGCCACATATAAGTGATATCATATGACACTTGTCTTTCTCTGTCTGACTTCACTTAGTATGATAATCTCTAGGTCCATCCATGTTGCTGCAAATGGCATTATTTTATTATTTTTTTATGGCTGAGTAGTATTTCGTTATATATATTATATATTCCATATATATATATATGTATGTATATATGTATGTATATATACCACAGCTTCTTTATCGAGTCATCTGTCGATGGACATTTAGGTTGCTTCCATGTCTTGACTATTGTAAATAGTGCTGCTATGAACATTGGGGTGCATGTATCTTTTTGAATTATAGTTTTCTCTGGATATATGCCCAGGAGTGGGATTACTGGATCATATGGTAACTGTTTTTAGTTTTTAAGGACTCTCCATACTGTTTTCCATAGTGGCTGCAGCAAACTTCATTCCCACCAACAGTGTAGGAGGATTCCCTTTTCTCCATACCCATGGAGAGGGCATTTCCCCCCACAAACTTAGAGAAGGGATATGCTGTGGTCCTTGCTTTTCCATGCCTACCCTCTCACCGTGTGTGTCATATTTTACTATCAATTGTTATCTTAAAATGTGGGCATAGGTGAAAATGATGATGAGGTAGTATTTAGTACTCAAGACTCCTATTTCAAGCTGCAGCTGATAACTGAAGTGCTTATTCCTACTTTGCTTTTTAGAATTCTTTTCAACAATTTTCCTCCAAAGGAGCTATCTACTGCAGACTATGTCAGATGGACTGACTGATCACACTATGCTGGAAAGGAAGTTTCCATAATTATTTTTGTGGCCTCTAACTAAAACATTGGTCTGCATGTTTGCTGTCCTTTCTGGAAAATTGTTCTCTGCTTAGTTACAGAGAATTCCTTATGTGGAAGCAAAGCAGAATCTTGTCTCCCTTAAAAAGAGACTGATTCAATGATATTAACCCCAGACTGGGCAGTGGGGGAGGTGGGCAGTAAGTATTATCTGTTAAAATGTAAATTTGACTACTTAAGTTTTCAAAATATAATAATAGCTATTAGTTGTTGGACTAAGTGCCAGATACTTTTCTAAGTGTTTTACATATATTATTTAATTTTCACAACAACCCTTAGTATAATATTTATTAACCCATTTTACAGTTCAGAAGACCTAGGGACAGAGTGGTTAAATAACTTGCCCAAGCTCATAGAACTAGTAAGTGGTGGTATCAGGATTTAAACCTAGGCAACCTGACTTTAGAGTCTTCATTCCTGACCATAAACCTTGAAGTTGCTTTTGAAATTCAATAGTATACATACCATGAAGAACTGAAAAAGGAGTATTTAAAAGAAATCTGAGAGTCCATCCTGAGAAAAGAGATTGCTTCCAGCTGGACTAGGATTTAGTAGGCAGTGCTTAGCTTAAAGTGTGGGTGTTATTATCATTGTTTGCAGATTTGCAAATTCTCAAGTCAGACCCAGACCACCAGTCAGAAACTCTGAGGGAAAGGTCCAGCAATCTATGTTTTAATCTGCCTTCTAGATGATTCTAGTGTACATTAAAATTTGTAAACCACCAACCTTGAGGGCAGAACTGTACAAAAATAAAATCTGAGAGAGAAATAGCTGGGAGTGGCAAGAAAAAAAAGACTGAAAAGATTGAAAATGACAGGTCTAATGGGGGTGGGATGGGGAAGAAGGAAACAGGGGCAGGGAGTAGAATACATGGTTAAAGAACCCAATCATCAAAGAAAATATACAAAAAATATTTGTATGTATGTGCTTTAAAAGGCCAGGGAAAAGCAGAGTCAATAGATGGAATGTCAGAGAGAAGAGGGACATCATCCATTTGCTGTTATTTCTCTGGGAACCAGAAGGAAGGTGAAAAGGTGCTTAACTCAGCCTAGGCCTAGTGGGAGGAGGTTGTGTGTAGCTGAAAAGTAGCCAGGTGAAATAAAACCCTAAAGTTCAGTGGAGAGATGAGAAGGCTAAGAATATGAGTCGGTAGCAATGTCAATGTATCCTTTGTACCTGATTCAAGCTAGCTGAATACCATGAACTGCTTTTATGAGATGCCTCAGCCTATACAATTTAAACTCTGGGTTCCTTCACTTATAATTGTCTGGTTGAATATCTAAGTTGGGTGTGCTGAATGTACTGAAGCCTGTTCTTTGGGTGGGGATGGGGGTAACATTAAAGAAACTAGAGAAAATGAAGGGCACGGGTTGATCTTTGAGCGAATTGCACAATTACCCCTACAGAGTGGCAGTAAAGAACATGTTCATGATCATCTGTCACATGAAACAGGATACTTCATTTTGTGTCATTCCACTTTGTAGGTTTTTTCCTCTCCATCTGTTTTATTTGCAAATTTTGTTGATATAAATTATGTGATCATACACTAACAAATGCTCCTCACTCTTGTGCCTTGTTCTGATTTGTGTTTATTTTTAGCACCAGAAAAGTGCCACTGTAAGTCATGAGATGTCTGGTCTGAACTGGAAACCCTTTGTATATGGCGGCCTTGCCTCTATCGTTGCTGAGTTTGGTAAGAGTGTCAAAACTGGGAGATCTGCTCCTTATGGTATAGATGGCAGCATTATTTTTGGTAAAAGAAGCTTGCTCTATTTGTTTTAAAAACTTGTCTCAAAGCCATCAAGTAATATTTTCTGAGAAAGTACCGCTAATGGTATGGCAAGTAAAGTTAAGAAAAGTCAAATTTAGGAAGCTTTTTTGATAGTTTAATGATTTGTTAATTTGCTTGGCATAAGAAATATACATGAAAATATAGAGGGAGTTAGATAAGATAGGGGTTTCTGCTCTATTCCTATACTAATGGTCTTTCCTTTATGCTAAATTGTTTATGAATTTCTTAGTAAGTATCTAGACTTCTTTTTTTTCAAACCTCTTTCCCATTTTAGAAGAAAATTGACTAAAAGATCAAACCAGATTCTTCTCTATTTAATTTTAATTTTGAAATACTTTTAGATTGTGTTTTTATTATCTTCCAAATTTTCTCTTTCCTAAACTATTCATAAGTGACCTGAATCCAGTCAATTTGTTGACTTTATTGACATATATTCTGGTGTTGTGATTTCAAGGTTGTCAGTGACCAGAGCTGTATAATCACCTTGTTAGTTTTAGACCTTGAAATAATCCTCGAAACATATATTGTCAATGTAATGACCACTTCTGTGTGTTGATATAATAAATTTGGTTAAAGAAATTTTTCCACCCAGCACTGTGCTGCTATTGGTCCTGAATTACCTAAGGAACCAGATAAGTACACCAAATAGGACTTTCCCATTATCTTTCTTAATACTAGGAAACTGTTTCTTATAAACAGATAAAAGAAAGAAAACCCACAAAACTTTGTAATACTATATAAGAGTATGTGGAGCAGCAACCCCATGTTTTCCTATCTTCTTTGTGAAAATTTGCAGATTTTTATAAGGGAAATATGGGGAGACTTGAAGTGGCAGGGGACAGAAAGAAGAGACAAAAGCCAGATTGTGTGTTACAGATAAAATTAAAACAACATTTAAATTATCTTGCATTTACAGTATATTAGGACTATCTTAAAGCATTTTATTGTATCACAGTTTCAATTATACTATGGGTCAAATCCTTCTACCTACAATGCATTTCACTTTATCACGTACAACTCTTGTCCTCTAATCATGATATTTTAGTAGAGATCTAGGTGCTATAAAAAGGACTTTGTCTTACGTCTTAAAAATTATCATTGGCTTAAATTCAGCCAAAATTTAACTGTGATTCTTTGGAAAAATTTAGAAATGAGTGTATTCCTTCACAGGAACGTTCCCTGTGGACCTGACCAAAACGCGACTTCAAGTTCAAGGCCAAAGCATTGATGTCCGTTTCAAAGAGATAAAATACCGAGGAATGTTTCATGCCTTGTTCCGAATCTATAAAGAAGAAGGCATATTGGCTCTGTATTCAGGGTAAGACTGAATTCTTTCCTTACATCACAAATACAAATACTTTTTCAAGAAGCCATGTATTGCAGGCTGTCGGATGGTTTGTGCCCTTCATAGTCACCATTTTAACTTAAAATTCAGTATTGATGTGCCAGTTTATATTTCATTTGCTTGTAGTCTTGAGCTTTGGATTTTGTGTTCATTTGGCTATAAGTGATACAGTTTAAAATGGATATCTCATTGCAGCATTGGCTTTCTCCTGTTTTCCCAAGAGTCATCTATAGCTACCATGAATAGTCATGCCAATTAACAGAATATATTTCTGTGATATTCTTCCTGAGTTGCCAAATACTGACTTCTAAAAGAATTTTCTTCTTTATAGAAATATTATTCTGGTAGTTTAAACAGAAAATGCAGTATAAGAGAGAGGGAGACCCATCTTTTTGGGGGGTCAACTTTTGATTAGCCATAGGTTGGTGGTTTATTGTCCATTTTGTCATTTTACTAGTTCACATCTGCATCTAGTGTACCAGTTTATTGCTCAGAGAATGGACATCATTTTATTATTAACCTATGTTAGGCTTAATTTCAAAGATAATTTACTTGGGGAAAGAATCAAGTATTACATCCTGAAGCAAGTAAATCATGGATCATGTTTCACCTTGTTCTTACATCAACATGGATAACACAAGATTTTTTTTTCTGATAGCAAGCAATAAACTCAGAAATATGCATGTTTTGTCATCATTTTTTAATCTTAACCATCTGAGCTGCTGCTGTCTTTCTATTTATAACTATTAAAGTATAGTTCTGTGATTTGAAAGAATCTCAAAGGAGGTTTGAGTGAGAATGTCTCCAGTTCATAAGCAGAACTTAAATAGGGTAAAATTTTGACTCTGGTACCTCCTTCTTGATAGGATTAAAGATGTATCAACAATTTCTAGGAAGTAAGGTTGATTTTTTCTTAAATCTGTGAAGTGGGTTATGATGCATGCTTCTTTTTCTACATTACTGATTGAATTTGCTCATATTTTGTGAAGGATTTTTTCATCTAAGTTCATGAGAGATATTGGCCTATACAGTTAGTTTTCCTTTTTTGTAACTGTTTTTGTCTGGTTTTGTTATTAGAGTAATACTAGCTTTATAAAATGAGTTGAGAACTGTTCCCTCTTCTGTTTTCTGGAAGAGATTGTGTAAAACTGGTGTTAATTTATTAAGTATTTGCTAGAATTCCCCAGTGAAATTATCTGGGCCTGAAGAGTTCCTTTTTGGGAACTTTTAAATTATAAATTTAAAAAATTCAATGGTTATGAGACTACTCAGATTATCTATTTCATCTTTTTAAAAATTTTAAAAAATTAATTTTAATTCATTTATTTCTTTTTGTACTATCTATTTCATCTTAAGTTTTGGCGGTTTGTGGTTTTCAAGTAACTATTCATTTCTTCTAAGTTGTTGAATTTATGAGCATAAAGTTGTTTATAGTGTTCCTTTATTATCCTTTTAATGACTGCAGAATTGTAGTGCTAGTCCCTGTTGCATTCCTGATATTAGTGACTTATATCTTCTCTCTTTTTGCTACTATGAGCCTTGCTAGAGGTTTATTGATTTTATTTTTTTCAAAATAGCTGACTTTTTGTTTCATTGGTTTTTCTGTATTTTCCTGTTTTTAATTTTATTAATTTATGCTCTTTATTATTTATTTCCTTCTAATTGCTTTGGGTTCATTTTGCTCATCTTTTTCCAGTTTCTTGAGGTACGAACTTAGATTATTGATTTTGAGACTTTCTCTCTTTTCTAATGTAAGTAGTTTGTGCTATAAATTTCCCTCTCAGCACTGCTTTGGTTGCATCCCACATATTTTAATGGGTTGAATTTTCATTTTCACTCAGTTCTATGTATCTAAAAAATATTTTGCGACTTCCTGGGAGCTATGGATTGTATAGAAGTGTGTTATTTAATTTCCAAGTGTTTGCAGATTTTCCTTATTGATTTCTAGTTAAAGTCCGTTATGGTCAGAGAAGACACACTATGTGATTTCACTTCTTTTGAATTTGTTGAGGTTTGTTTTATGACTCAAATGCACTCTCTTGGCAAATGTTCCATAGGTACTTGAAAAAAATGCATATTTTGCTGTTTTTGTGGCGTGAGGTAGGTAATGGAAGGGAGTAGGCTGTCTAAATATGTATAATCTGCAAGTGCATGTTGAGTATAATTGACTTAATTTTTCTTTCTTTTTTTTTTCAGAATCGCTCCTGCTTTACTAAGACAGGCATCATATGGCACCATTAAAATTGGCATTTACCAAAGCTTGAAGAGATTATTTGTAGAACGTTTAGAAGGTCAGTATCAAATCCTCATTCTCTTTTGGGGTAATACTCAAAGAGATTGTTGAAATCATGCTTAGTGAGAAGTGTTCCTCACAGGGTGCCAAATGAGCTTATACTGATTTGGGGTTAATACTTGCAGAGATGATATATAGGTTAGAGGGACCTGCTTTTCAAGTTTGTCCCTTTTACTATCAAACAAACAAAAAAGGCTTCTGGTCATCACAGAGGGAACATGGAACAAGTTTCTTGAGAAAATTAATGCTGTCCTCATCGAGAAGAGGACTTCAATTGTAAGGAATCCTCTAGCTGCCAATTTTGATAAGATTTTGTTAGGTGGTGTAGTTTTAGGTTGTTATAACCTGGATTCTAGTGTACATATGTCCACCTTAACTCATATTCAGCATTATTATATGTCTCTCTGCTTGTGGCTGCAGCATTTCCAACTGGATACTGTGCTAAAATTTTACCTCAGGCTTGAGGCTACTGCATAGTTAGGAACAGCTGGAGAGCCTTTCGGTTGGAAATGTCTTTTGTATCAGTTTATTGTCCTTAATCAACTTTTTCTGGAGCCTCTTCTTTGAGGATCCTGAAGGATTCTCTTCCTAAAATAGTTTCTTTTTACAGATTCTTCACTTGGGTTTACCTGGTTACTATTTTCAGGCTTTTCATGGTGAGGAGGTGTGGTGAAAATTGAGTTTTAGGACAATACATATGCTCTGTGTTTTCTTTGTTTTCTTTTTCCTACCTGGGAAGATTTATTTCCAAATGTCTAGTTTTTCACATTTAACAGTAGAAGTCTTATATAAATAGAGGCTAGTAGATATCAAGGCCAGTTAAATTTAATGCTTAGATAATTTTTTTCTATTAGTGATAAGATTTTATCTTTTAACATTCAGTTCTTGTATCTTTAGAGTTGATGATTCTACAGAAAAAGACTTTAAAACTTCTCTTTACATGTTTGAAATGATTGAAGGGAAAATAGCACATTCTGAATTTATGTGGAGTATTGGCAGTTATATCGAAAAATAAGATATGTTCCAGTGTCTTTTAGAAGTATTTAAAATAATGATTTATGTTTTACAAATTTTATATATTTCAGCACTGATTTGGGATCTAGAAATATTTGAGTTTCTTTATTTTTATAAGCTTTGTAGTTCATTTTTTATTGAGTTATAATCAGTTTACAATCTTATGTCAATTTCCAGTGTGGAGCACATTTTTTCAGTTATACATGAGCATACATATATCATTGTCACATTCTTTTTCACTGTGATGTAGTTCATTTCTATAGTCAGTTTTCTGAACAAGCTTCCTTTCCTCTGATAACTCAGTACTGTGTTCTCAGAAACTGATACCTCATACAAGCAGACCTTTCTTTCTTTCTTTCTTTTTTGTTCCTTTTTACAGATGAAACGCTTTTAATTAATATGATATGTGGGGTAGTGTCAGGGGTGATATCTTCCACTATAGCCAATCCCACCGACGTGCTAAAGGTAAGAGAAATCTGGTAGCGTTGGATATATCCAGTGTGAAGTGAAGAGCTTTGAGTCAGATTTGGGTTCAGATCCCTACTCTGTCACTTGCCAGATGTAAAAACTTGGGCAAATCACTTAACTGCTTTAATTCTCAGTTTCCTCATGTATAAAATGAAGATAATTTAGTATTTATCCCATAGGATTGTTAAGGATTAAAGATAATATATGTAAACTGTCTATCATTGTACTTGGTAGGTAGTTGATGTTCAATAAATAGTAAATGTATTAGGATGTGCATTAATCCATTGGTCTTCAAACTAGAGTATGCCAACCTCTTTGTTTCTTCCCAAGTGCTGTACAGTGTTAAGGGAATCAATTTCCAGATCGCTTACTTTCATTTGTACTCTCTTCAGAAACAGATCTGAGAATGAGCTTGTCTTTATAATAGCCCTTTCCCCACTTTACAAAAGAAAGGTATATTCCCCCATGCATTTCAAATCTTAGTATGGTATATTGACCTGTGGTGTAACTTGAAGTGTCAAAGGGGTAAATTGAAATACAGTTTTTGGAGAAGCCTCCTTTAAAAACTGATTACGTCTATAATGTCTCTGTCTTTTCATGTCTTATCCATATTTCTATTAAGAATGAGATTTGGCCTGAAAGTGGTAGATTTTAGCCTGCGTTGGAATATTCTGAATTCAAAACCAGAACAATATGGGTTAGTGGTGCTGAGTTTTTAAAATATAATTAGATTTCTTTCAGATTTTGTTAAAAGACAGAATGAAACAATAATACCAATCTTCAGCTTATTTTATCTCAGAATAGTAAACATTTCCTCTTTATTAACTTATTTAAACTTACGATTAGTTAAAAGCACTAAATATATGATTAAAATGTGTAAGAGGATCCGAAGTTTTTAAAAATTATTTTAGGGGGAATATGACCAAAAAAAGTGAGAGAACATATGCTTTATTTATTGAAACCACAGGTGGCTAGGTTAGCGAAGGGGAGATCTGTTGCAATTAAGAGAGTTTTGAGAACTGAGAGAGTGACTTGAAAAATAACACACGAGAGAAACCAGTGGTGGTTGATGAAGAAAAGATGTGAAATGTTATTTCTGGATTAAATTGATAATAACTTAGCTACATAAATTTTATATCATTTTAGATTTACAGAAAAAGTATTTATGAAGAGAATTGACTGTATCCTAAAACTCTAAAATATTTTCAGTATAATCACACTTATTAGAATGTGCTTGTCAAGAAAAATAATACTTAACTCCCAAAAACTTCTTTTGTTATCCTGGTGGATCCTAGACTTAATCACCTGGGTGATTTGCTTCACTTTCCCATCCCTCTGACTAGATGATTACAACCATTGACCAATGCTATAATCTACCTTTTCCTTTCTTACACTTAGGTAGGGCTGAGTGGTGAGTAGTGTTAGGGAGCCGGGGGTAGTCACAATCTTATGTAGGATTTTTAATCACAATTGGGCTGTTTAATCCTTTTACTTAGCCTTGGATAGCTCTTTCTCTGAACTGTGTGCTGCTTCCTTGCCTTTGTGCATATAGTTTTCTTTTTGCCTGCAGTGCCTTTTCCCCCTTCCCTCATGAATTTATTCTTCAAAACTACCCAGGAATAGGACCAGGACTAGGACCCGAGGAATGAGGTATTCCCCCTGGGTGCAAAATGTAAGGGTATAGCAAAAGCTCAGTAATCAAGAGAGATAACATTTTTATGTAATATTTTTCAAAAATTAAAATGAATATAAAAAATTCTTGATGAGCAAAATAGTTGTGTTGTTGTACAATCATCTCACTCACCCTAACTCTGCCCTGTTGGATCCTGTCTTCAGTTTCAATTTTGATACTTGGTTCATTGTGGATTTTTATGCATTAATTTTGATTTTAAAAAAATTTGCACTAAGATAATATTTATCTGGATTACTGAGATTTTTTACATTCCCCCTACTACATTTTGTGCCTGAGGAAAGTGCCACACTTGCCTCACAACTTCTTCTTACAAATGACAAATCTCAATTTAAGGTCTCGTAAACAAAAAATTATATTTTAAACATTTTTTCTTTTTATAATTACATAAGCAATGCTCAATGTAGAAAAATGGAAGGCAGGAAAAAACACAAAAAAGAAAAATGCTCACTTGCAGCTTCATCACTTAGACTTAAGCCACTGTCAACACTTGGGTGTATATGTTCATCCAGTTTCTTTGCTGTGCATATGATTATTTTCAAGTTTACATATTTTTACATATTTTTAATTAAAATGATACACCATACATACTGCTTTGCAACCTGCTTTTTCTATGTAACAATTTAATTGTTGACAATTTCTAATATCCACAGATATTATTCTACAAAAAATTACATGGCTGCATAGTATTCCCTTAAATGGATGTATCATAATTTATGCAATGGATTCTTTGTTGTTTTTGGACATGTAGGTTATTTCTAATTTTTCACTACACTAGTCATATTTTAAATGGATTATTTTCTACCCCCACTGATTACTTGTTCTTTCTTTTTCCCAAATTTTCTTCCAACTCCAGAAATGATGGACTTAATATGAGGAATGTGAGGCTGGTGAAAATCACCTTTATAAAATATACTTTGACACAAATTACATTCTTTATGTATGTAGTTTGTCATTAATTTCATCATAATAGCAGGCTGATTTTTCTGATAATTCCCAAATACTGTTTTCTTAATTTTAAATGAGTGAAACATCTCATTTTGGTTCTCTCTGTCAAAACAAAATGCTCACCTCTTCCGATTTTAGATTCGAATGCAAGCTCAAGGAAGCTTGTTTCAAGGCAGCATGATTGGCAGCTTCATTGATATATACCAACAAGAAGGTACCAGGGGTCTCTGGAGGGTGAGTATTCTTTTCCTGGTATTGTTCTATACACAGTTCCTAGAATTTGCAAAGAATGCCTTTTATATAAAGCCATAAAATTGTGAATTGTCATCTTATACTATATAAGATGCTTGATAACCCAAAAAATAAGGTAAGAGGCTCCTTATCACCTATGAAAGGACCAAAATTTATCAGTTGTCTTTATTTCTGCTTAATGTTTGGGGATTGTATGTGTGAGAGACATTATTACATTATTTGAGATAGTCATTTTGGTTTGTTCAAATTCACAGTGAATTTAGTTCTTCAATGTATATTTTTGCCAGTTTTGCACTAACACAGCAGTGTATGTTTATGGTCTCTGTAGTGCTTATGATCAAAAGTTGTTACCTAAAACAACTTTTTAAAATACAATAAAAGGTAAAAGATAGTGTACTGTAAAATATTGAGACAATATATAAAAGAGAAAAACATCCAGTAGTCCACTAGCTAGACTTAATCACTGTTAGTCTTCTAGCTATACTTTGGGGTTTTTTTTTGTTCCTATAACTTTTTAATCCTATTTTAATCACTTAAGTTTGTAATATTAAATAAGACTACTAGTAGAAGAGAGTAGAATGGGAACTCCATTAATAGACTCTTAAAAAAGAAAGTTTTGCTTTTCTCCTTTCTTTATAATTTTCCCTAACTACTTACTGTAAAAAAATTTCAAACATACAGAAAGGTTGAAATAACAGAACAACGAACACCTACATACCTGGATTAAATGACTCTTGAAGTTTGGCCATATTTGCTTTATCTATTTATGTGTATATATACACATACACATACAGACACACACACTGCTTCTTTTTCTTTTTCTTTTTTTGCTAAACTATTTGAAAGGAAGTTGCAGACAGCATGGTAACTCTCCTAAGTACTTCATTATGCCTCTCCTAAGAATAAGGACATTCTCCTGTGTAATAATTCCATTGTCACACACACCTAAGAAAATTAATAACTAGTCCCTAAGAGCTAACATCTAGTCCATATTCAAATTTCCTTTATTGATGAGCTGAGGTGAGTTTTCTTAAAGAATGTTTCCTTGTATTTCCCCTGTAGTTCCTGTAAGCTGAAAGTTAGGTATGTTAGCTTGATTAGATTCATGTTAAACATTTTTGGTAAGAGAATTTAAAAGATGACACTGTGTATTTCATATTGCATCCAAGGAAGAGGCACATACTGTTAGGTTGTCCCACAATTCGTGACGCCAAGTTTGATTACTTAGTAAGATGATGTCCACCAGATCTTACCGTCATAAAAGATAAGTTTTTTCCCCTTTGCAATTAGCAAGTAATTTTTTTTAGATTTTATTTATTTATTTTTTAAAACACCTTTATTGTGGTATGGTTCCTGTACAGTCAACTACACATATTTCAGATATACAATTTGATGAATAGCAAGTAAGTTGTAGAGTGATGTTCTTCTAACAACACGCACATATACTATTAATGACCTTTCACCAAATGGTCTTAGCATCCATTAATGATCCTTGAGGTTTGCTTTTTGATAAAAGGCACTTTGGGGTACACTTTCTTGATTAGTTGAATTTAAAACCAGAAAATGGGACTAACTAGAACTTTTTCATAGACTAATGCTAAGGGAAAGACAAAGACAAAGCGATGTATAGAATTGGAGATTTTGTCAGGGTACTTTGTAATAGCTATTTTATTTTTAATTAAAATAATTTTTAAATTGTGGTAAAATACACATAACATAAACTTTACCAGCTTACCTATTTTTAAATGTACAGTTTGGTAGTGTTAAGTGCATTTATGTTGTTGTACAACCAGTCTCCAGAATTCTTCTCATCTTGCAAAACTAGAACTCTGTACCCATTAAACAACAACTTCCCATTTCCTCCTCCCACCAGCCCCCGGCAACCAATATTTTATTTTCTGTCTCTATAAATTTGACAGTTTTGGGTACCTCATATAAGTGGAATCATACAGTATCTTTTTATTACTGGTTTATTTCCCTTAGCATAATGTCCTCAATTCATTCATGCTGTCACATGTATCAGAATTTCCTTTTTAAGGCTGATAATATTCCATTATATGCATATACCACATTTTGTTAATCCATTCATCCTTTAATGGACAATTAGGTTTTTTCTGTATCTGGGCTCTTGTGAATAATGCTGCTGTGAACATAGATGTGCAGGCATCTCTTCAAGACTGATTTCAGTTCTTTTGTGTATGTACCCAGAAGTGCGATTGCTGGATTGTATGGTAATTCTGTGTTTAATGTTTTGAGGAACTGGACATAGCTACTTTTATGATCCAAGCTATTTACTTCATCTAGACATGTAAGGTAGAGAAGTGAAGTACATTGTGTTACATATTCCTTTGACACAGACATGTATTTTTTATATATTAAAATATAGGAATATTTCTTTTATTTCAACGAGGAAATATGTTTGCATTTTTCTTTAAACATGTGGTCCTCTTTCCTGCTTTGATTATAACATGGGTCCTGGAAATATTTCACTTTCTTGCTAACTCCATTGTAAGAAATGGCAGCACGAGTATTGTAGCAGAGAGTAACTGGCACTTAATGTCAGAGTTGGAGAGACAATAGAATGGTGGGGACTGTGGTGAACTGGAGAGCACTTGCCCTGTTCATTGCTGCCATGCACCACATGAGTCCAGTGTGGCCAAATTTTCTGGACGTTTAAGAGAAGCTGGAAATCTGCATCCCTGTGTGAAGTGTCCATTCCTGTGGTTTTTTGTTTGTTTTAGTATGTTGACAGCTAGTTCGGCCTTCTAAGAAACACTGTGTAGGCCACACAAAACATGTCTACGACCTGAATTCAGCCTGTGGGTCCTTACTGTTCACCAAGTTAGTCTTCTGAGGCCATCTTCTAACAGAGTCGAGCAGGTAGAAGGGTCAGAAGGCACTGCTGGGCCAGCCAGCCTGATCAGCAGAATCAAACATTTCCTGATGACAGCACAGGTACATCAGTTCCACTTTATAAACTGAGTTTGGGAATTAAGACATGATCAAACTCTTTATTATAACAGGTATCCCAGAAAGCGGTTGTCCCCATGGTATGTTATTTTCAATTTTAAATGATATTTAAACACAATGATAAAAGTAAAACATTGATTATGAATTTTTTAAATAAAAATTTGGCACATGTGTTTATACCTTTTCTCCTAAAGTTAGAATAATACTATATGTAATTTTATGTCTTGCCTTCTTTAATGTTATTGGCATTTTCTTGTGTCATTAATATTCTTCAAAAACATGACTTTTGGTGCTCTAGCAGTCCTATGTTGTAACGTGAGCTGGGATAGGACTGTTGTGCTAGTGAGTGAAAAGCTGGTAGTGTTACCCCAGGAGAACTTTGCCTTGGCTTTCTCCCTAGCTGCATCATACCTTTGCTGTCATCCTAGTGTGTCCTTCCAGCAAGCACAGCATAAATTCTGTGAATTAAACTTGAGTTTTGCTTCATGGGTTTATTTTATTTTTAATAGCATCTTTATTGAGATAATATATATACTATAAAGTTTACTGTCTTAAAGTATGCAATTTAATGTTTTTGGATATCCACAGACTTGTGCAACCATCACCACTTGTCTCAGTTTAGAACATTTTCTTCACTACAAAAAGAAACCCCATACTCATTAACAGTCACTTCCCGTGACTACTAACCCTCCCAAATCTAGACAATCCCTAATTTACTTTTTGTCTCTATAGATTTACCAATTCTGGCATTTCATGTAAATGGAATTATATAATATGTGGCATCTGTGACTGGCTTCTTTGGTTTAGCATACTGTTTAGTTTCATCTAAATGTTTTAGCATTTATCAGTACTTCTTTTCTATTTGTGGCTGAATAATAATTCCATTGTATGTACATGTCACATTTTGTTTATCCCTTCATCAGTTAATAAGCATTTGGGCTGTTTGTACTTTTTGGCTGTTATGAATAATGCTGTTATGAGCATTCATGTACAGGTTTTTGCATAAATATGTGTTTATAATTCTCTGTATATCTAGATGTGAAATCACTGGGTCATATAGTAATTTTATGTTTAACTTTTTGAGGGACTGCCAGTGTTTATCACAGTGGCTGCCCTATATTACATTCCCACCAGCAGTCTATAAGTATATATCTTCTTTGGGGAAATGTCTATTTAGATTTGCCCATTTTTAAATTGGGTTGTTTGTCTTTTTATTCTTGTGTTGTAAGGTTCTTTATGTATTTTGGATACTAGTCCATATGTGATATATGATATATACTAGTCCAGACATGATTTTGCAAATACTTTCTCTCATTGTGTGGGCTGTCTTTTTACTTTCTTGATGGTACCCTTTGAATCACAAAAATGTTTAATTGTGATGAAGTCCCTTTATCTATTTTTTCTTTTGTTGCTTGTACTTTGGGTGTCATATCAATGATTTTATTTTTAGTGTAGTAAGTGAATTGGGAATTTATAAGTGTTCCAGCATTAGCCATTGATTTGAAGGAGTGACCTCTGTACTTTAAACTTGGATTTTTCTGTGATTTTTAAAACTCTCAACCTATTTTGTTCACTTTTAGACTTATGTCACTACCAGTGTATTTCCTTGGTGTCTAATGTCGCTTATGTTTTACAGGGTGTTGTCCCAACTGCTCAGCGGGCTGCCATTGTTGTGGGTGTAGAGCTACCAGTCTATGATATTACGAAGAAGCACTTAATATTGTCAGGCGTGATGGGAGACACAATCTTGACTCACTTTGTGTAAGTATGATAGGTTGTATTCATTCCATAGTTTTAATACTTAAAGCACAGAAAGCATCTTTCACTGCAGTCCTCATGCAGAATTGATAACAGGTACATATGGCCTAAATACCTTTTTCTCTCTCATCACCAGAACTTCAAGACTTCTGACACATGTATAGAGATTCCAGATACTATGGGCACTTTGGTACTTGGGGGCAGTGTCTAATACAGTAACCTATCAGATGTCTGTAGGATTTGCATTTATTCATACACAGCCTCTGTATCTGATAAGCTTGTGTTATTTGCTTTGGTCAATTTTGGATCAGAAAGCAGATTTTCTCAAGGAAAAATAGAAAAAAAAAGTGTGAAATTTTAGGGCCTATGAAATGAAACCACAGTTTGGGGCTAAAGACTGTTGCTAATCTCATTCTGCATTTTCTTCATCTTGCACCTTTTATGATACTTTACTGCTCAAATACATTTGACATATGATGCTGTGGTTTGAAAAATTTACATAACCAATATATAATGTGTAGTACTTCCTGCTTAGGGAACTTACTAGACTTTTAAACTATTTCCTTTAAAAAAAAAAGACTGAATTTTAGATTGAAAAGTAAAGCGGACAGCTTTTGAATTATGTCTTTTAAGATTTCCTTTCTCTTTAGATTGTAATGAAAGGCCAGGTTTTATCTGATGAGTCTGACTCATTGTACATTTATGTTTAGCCTAATTTCTGTTTAAGTGGGCAGAGGTGGAAGTGGGGCAGACTATATTCTTAAAGTTTTCACCTGTAGTTCTAGCTTTACCTGTGGCTTGGCTGGGGCTCTGGCTTCCAATCCAGTTGATGTGGTTCGAACTCGCATGATGAACCAAAGGGCAATTGTGGGACATGTGGACCTCTACAAGGGCACTTTGGATGGCATTTTAAAGGTATGCACACTATGAACTTGGATTGTATTTTTAATTTTCTTTGATGTCTTAAACCTTCCTGCAGGGCTTATTCTTAGTTGGTACATTTCATTCTGAAGGTGGAAGAGTCATTATGTCTATTTTTAGTAATCTCTCAGAGTAATTCCCAGATAGGGGTGCTGTCTCCTTGGCAATCTGCTGGTGCACCATGGTCCTTAAGATTATTATTCCAATTTGAATGCTTAAGACTGCAGGATACTTTTATCAATAGCACCATGTAGAATTACTGATAGAAAGGACTTAGCATATCCCACACTTGCTCATTTCAGACAAGGCAGAGATGTTGTAATAGAAAATCTGGTACTCAATTTCAGTTCAGCATTGTGCTATTGTTCACACTTTGAAAGTTTCTGCTATGTTATGTTTGTAGGAAGCTGAATATCATACATGTATTATTTATTATATAATCACTGGTGATAATACGTCTACAAAAAACAAATTTGAGGCTAAAATATGATAATACCATATGGTTTCTCTGCTGTTATCAGTTTAGTTAACTTATCTATCAGGAACCATTTTAGTAGGTACAGAGAAATTACAGCATACTGCAGATATATAAACAGATAATCAACACATCTTGGTAAGTGATAAACTCAGGGATCTATGGGAGGAAATTTTAGTCCAATTTGGAAATTTGGGGTAGATTTCCTGGAGATGGAGGCATCTTGAATAATAATAACTCAAATCGGTTGAGTGCTTTATTGTGTGTCAGGAACTGTCATAATGAGACATATGTATTCATTCATTTAATCTTCACTATTAAAACATACTGGAACACTGAGAGATTAACCTTTCCAAGGTTTCACAGCTAGTAAGTGGGAGAGCTGGGATTTCAACTCAGACCATTGGCTTCAAACCAACATTCTTAACTCTACACTATGGTGCCTTCCTCATGTTGGTGGAGGGTTAGTTAGGTTATAAAGGATATTGAATGTTATGCTGAGATGTTTGGACTCATTTTTTTTACTTGATGAGGAGCTATTGAAAGATTTTAATCAGGTCAGATTTGCATTTTAAATAGGTCACTATGGCTTTGTGGAGAATGGATCTAAGACAGTGGTTCTCAATCTTAGGTGCACATTGTAATCACCTGGGGAACTTTCACAGCTTCTGCATCCTCCTTAGACAAATGATCTCAGAACGTCTGAGGTAGGGGCCAGGTTGTCAGTATTTTTAAAACTCCTCAGGTGATTGCAATGTTCACATAAGATTGAAAACCATTAATATAAGGGGATGAGCCTGGAACAATGGTTCTTAAAACTTTAATATGCACCTGAATCACCTGGAGCACTTGTTAAAATCCAGATGGCTAGGCCCATCACCAGATTCTGATTCAATAAGTTTGGAGTAGGACCTGAGAATCTGCATTTCTAATCAGTTCCCAGGTTAGTTTTAGACCACACTTTGAGAACCACTGATCTAAAGATAGGGAAACTGATTAGAAGGCTCTTTTTTTTTAATTGAAATATAGTCAGTTTACAATGTGTCAATTTCTGGTGTACAGCATAGTGATTCAGTTATACATATATATATATTCCTTTTCATACTCTTTGTTATTATAGGCTATTACAAGGTATTGAATATAGTTTCTTGTACTATATAGTATCACCTTGCTGTTTATTTTATATATAGTAGTTAGTAGTTAGAAGGCTCTTACAGTAATCTGAGCAAGAGGTGATAAGAGCCTGAACCTGAGCATGGATAGTGGGGATAGAGTTGAGAGTAATTTCGTTGATAAAGTCAACAGGATTCAGTTGACTGGGTGTGGAGAGGTGTGAGAGAAAGGAGGTATCAAAGATAACTTACCGGTTTTTGGTCTTGGTGATTATGTGGTGACATTCATTGATGGAGGCATTACAGGAAGAAGAACAGGCTTTATGGGAGACATCACAGTTTGGGATACTTAGTTTGAGGTGCATGAAGAACACCCAGTGAATATATTTGGATATCTTAGTCTTAACTCAGGGATGAGTTCGGGGGTGTAGATAAGAACCTGGGGAAGCAGTAGAGTACAGGTGTTACGTAACTGTGGAGCAGGGGACCAGGGAGAGCAGGTAGAGGTGTTCACAACTTTTTTGCTTTCCTAGCACACTGGAGGATTATAAAGCTCTTTCCATTAATGGTGATTCACAGAAGTGGTGATTCTCATCCTCTGGGGAGAGGAGATGGCAAAAGCACCCCTCTTGCTATTTCTGACATGCTAACCCTTCCACTTGACTGGTGTAGAGAGAAGAGTAGACCCAAGGAAAGAACTCTGGGGAAATACCAGTTTTTAAGGACTTGGCAGATAAGGAACCCATGAAAGACACTAAAAGATAACAGTTCAAAAGATGGGGAAACTTAGATGAGAGAACTTAGGTTCAGAGTAGCTACATACTTACCCAAGTGTATAGTGGGAGATCTGGGATTTAAACCAGGGTCTGTCTGATTGCAGTTTATACTCATAGCCACTGTGTTGTGTGATATTGTCAGAAATGTATTTTCATGTTGGCAGTAACCTCTTAGTACTTACATTTACTCACTCATTCACTTACTTGCTGTTAAAATTCTTTAGAACAACTTTGTTCTATATTGTCATTATACTTTATTATTTCATTTTAAGAGTGCCAAAACACTTTGGTGAATGGAATTGTGCATTCATCTCTGACATAGAAATGAAAAGGTGCAAACCCGTCCTTTTACCTCCATTTAAAACCCTTGAGTGGCTTCTCATTGACTCAAGGCTCCATATTTGACCCCTTTTTAATTCTACAGCCTTATCTCTGCTACCTTTATTCTACATTCCAAATATACTGAACAAGTTCTAGTACTAGATTGTCTTTCATTCCCAAGTTTTCACCTGTGCCATGTACTTTGTTAGACACCCCACCCCCAATATCCTTTTCTCTTGGTTCCTACCCATTCTTCAGATCATGTTATTTTTTTCATAAAGGACTTCTTGACTGTTAAACTATGTTATGTATGCATGATTTCATGTACTTACTCTGTCATAGCATTTATTATACTTTTAAAAACATCTTTTTTATGACTAATTCATGTATCATGAAATTCACTTGGTCAAAGTGGTTTTTGGTATATTAACAGATATGTGCAACCATTATCACTACAGTCAATTTTAGAACATTTTCATGACCTCAGAAAGAAATCCTATGCTCTTTAAGCTATAACTTCCTTAGCCCCCCAGCCCTAAGAAACCACAAATTTGCTTCTTATCTGTATAGATTTGCCTATTCTGGAGATCTCATATAAATGGAATTATACAATATGTGACCTTTTTGACTAGCTCCTTTCACTTACCATAATGTTTCAAGGTTCCTCCATGCTGTGGTGTATATCAGTACAGGCATACCTCAGAGATATTGCAGGTTTGGTTCCAGACCACCACAATAATGCAAATATCACAATAAAGTGAGCCACATGAATTTTTAATTTTCTAGTGCATATAAAAGTTATGTTTGCACTATACTGTAGTCTATGAAATGTATAATAGTATTCTCTAAAAAAGCAATGTACAGACCTTGATTAAAAAAATCAAGGTATGATTGCTAAAAATGCTAACCATCATCTGAGCCTTGAGTGAGTCCTAATCTCTTTGCAATAGTAACATCAAAGATCACTGATCACAGATCACCATAACGAATATAATGGTAATGAAGAAGTTTTAAATATAGTGAGAATTACCAAAAGTGACAGACACAAATGAGCAAATGCTGTTGGGAAAATGGTGCTGATAGACTTGCTCAATGCAGGGTTGCCACAAATCTTCAATTTGTGAAAAACACAGTACCTGCAAAGTGTAATAAGGTGAAGTGCAGTTAAACGAGGTATGCCTGTACTTCACTCCTTTTTATGGCTGGATAACATTCTGTTGTATGGCTGTATCAAATTTATTCACATTTGTTACATTTTATTGTACAGTTGACCCTTGAACAATGCAAGTTTGAATGGGTCCACTTATATGCAGATTTTTTTAGTGGTTAATAGTATGGTACTACACAACCTGCAGTTGGTTGAATCTGAGGATGTGGAGGGCCAACATAAGTTATACATAGATTTTGACTGCATGGAGGGTCAGTGTCCCTAACACTCATGTCATTCAAGAGTCAACTGTAATTGCTTTTAATACCTGTATGTCCCAGTAGACTATGAGTTCCATGAAGGCAGAGTCATGATGTGCACCTTGCTTATCACTTTATCCACAGCAAATTATTTATTGAATGAATGTATAACTTCATGAAGTAGCCTGTTGTCTCTGTTTATCTATAGAAGTTCCTGTTTGTTTTCACTCAACTGCCTCCAGCCAAAAAGTGTACCTCCCACTTCTAATGTTCTGAAGAAGTTGGTCCCTGTTTTGGAGCTTTATAAGGATTCAGATGGCTCATGAGAGTGTCAGAGACCCTGTGTGTGTGTGTGTGTGTGTTAAAGTTTGTGTTCATTTACTCAATAAATATTTATATAGATACTAGTAGAAACTTTACTCTGCTAGACAGTGTTAGATAGTGGGATATAATGGTGAAGAAGACTAATGTGGTCCCTGCTCTCCTGGAGATTACATTCTAGTTGAGAGAGACAGGCAAACACAGAGATAATAAATAGTGTAATTTCAGATGGAAGTAAATGCTACATAACACAGCATAATGAGACAGTGGCTTGGTGATGGTGGTGGGGAACTACTTCAGCTAGGATGGCCAGGAAAAGGCTGTGAGGAGGTGACATTTGAGAAGAGGTCTGGATGATGAGAAGGTAGCAACATGAAGATGTAAGAGAAAAACATTTCAGAAAGAGGGAACAGATATAAAGGCCCTGAATTGGGAATGAGCTACACATGTTCAGGGGTTAAAAACAAAGCTGGTATGGCTGAGTGTGGTGAAAAAGTAGAAGGAAAAAGTAGTAGGAAATGGAACTGGAGAGGGAGGCAGGGACTAAATCATGTAGGATCCTGTAGATCATGGAGGAAAATTTGCAATTAAAAGGAAATTCACTGGGACCCCATTGGAGAGCTTTAAACAGGAAAGTGACACTATCCAATTTATAATTTTAAAAGATTGCTTTGGCTTCCAAGTGGAGATTGTAGACCTAATTCCTAACCTCATGGGGTAGTAGTCCAGATTTCAGCTAGGGCTGTAATCATCTGAAGACTTGACTGGGGCTGGGGCATCTACTTCAAAGATCACTCATGTGGTTGTTAGCAGGAAGCCTCTGTTCCTCTCTGGCTGTTGGCTGGAGGGCTTAGTTTCTCAACACATGGGCCTCTCTTCATGACATGGCAGCTGGCTTCCTCCAGAGCGAAAGATCCAAGAGAGAATAAGTCAAAGCCTTATTATATACAAAATGTCCTTTATAGCACAGCACTGGAGGTGACATACGTTCACTACTGCCGTACTCTATTGGTGACACAGACTGATCCTGATATGTGTTGGGAGGGGCTACACAAGGGTGTGAGTAGTGGGAGGTGGCTTTCATAGGGGGCCATCTTGGAGGCTGGCTACCGTAGACACTTTGTCTCTCTTGTTTATTATTATTACTATTATCCCAACATTGAGAAGAGTACCTTACATATTGTAGGTGCATAGTAAATATTTTGAGTTGAATGAGTGGGGTAATGGATTTAGAATACATATGAATTCAAAATGTATGTCTTTAGAAAAAAAGGACCATTCATGGAGCCTAAGTTGTTGGGGAGGGGCATGGAAGATGAGTACTAAGATAAAAGTAATTGTCAGCTGTAAAGTGTAAAAGGAATTCACTCTGTTTTTCATTTTATCTTTCCCTTAGATGTGGAAACATGAGGGCTTTTTTGCACTCTATAAAGGATTTTGGCCCAACTGGCTTCGACTTGGACCCTGGAACATTATTGTATCCTTTTAGAACATGAGAATGAGAGCAAACCTCCCAGGTAACTGTAGGCTGTGGGAAGGAAATTTTGATTATTAAAGCCTTTAGGCAGGTAAGAATCTACTCAGGTGTTCTCATGGTGACCATAAGAACTAAGTACAGAAATGGCTTTCAGTTGGAGTCTAATACAAACTAAAGAGAGTAGAAAAGATATGCCAACATTTCTTCTTCAAAACAAAACAGCAACAAACACAGCCTAATCTGGAAGGGGCTAGGAAGTTTTTGGAAACCCTGCTGGGAGATGCCCACAGGAAGGTCCATGGTGAGGTGGTCCGTATTTCCCACTCCTGACTATAGGACCAAAATAACTTGGGAAATAATAAGACAGAAAACACTCTTAGGGTAACGGAATCCAGAGCCAAGTAGGGCCCTTTCCTCATAGGTGAATCTCTTTCCTTTAGCTGTGTTTGAGAGCCTCCTCTATGGAGAACCATGAGTTGGGTAGCGTGTGGTGGCATCTGTAATCCTGAGTACTGCAGGGTTGAGTAATTCTCTGCCCTTCTGGAGTCTTAAAGTTGAGGGAGATAATATCTCTCTCCCTCTTTGGGATTGCTCTGATCACCTAATGTCTGTAACAGTTACTCTAGCATTGAATTATATGTTGCTGATGTTCATGGATGTGTGTGTGTGTGTGTGTGTATGCGCGCGTGCTCTTTGCCCCTGAAGACTATAAGTATGTTAGAGTTCTAATCTGTTTATATTGCTAAATGCCAATGATCAAAATGGGCACATTGTGGGTACTCAGTGTGTGATCTGCCAGATATATTTTTAAAAAGATTTTAAGCAAGTGCAACTTAGAATAGCACAGACTAAGTACCTCAGTTTAAGAGAATGCAATGTACAATTTTAGAACTGAATGTGGCTTTCAGTATCAACCCAGTGATCTTCCATGACTTACACCTCAGTTTTTCATTACATACGAGCAGCTCAAGAGGCTTCAAATCTAAGGACTGAATTATATGTGAGCCAAGTTCTTCCAACCTTTCTACTTGTTTCTTTTCCCTTTTTCTGTGTTCTAATGTATTTTGACAAAGTTGTAAGTGTTTACTGAACCACTGGTCTCCCAAGGCCGTCCTGATGAAAGAATGATAGGATGGTTCAAAATTGCTCATGTGTTTGTGTTGCCATAGGAACTTTTCCCTGAGAGGAGGTATTAACATTGAGACTCTGGCCCCAGATTGGTATCTTCTGTGAAGATGGATACTGATGGATGACACTCAAAATGGCCTTCTCTTCAAATGTGGGTTAAATGTAGTTTGTTAGCCCCAGACTTGGGCTACAGCAGAAGGCATAGGCCAGAGCAGTTTCTGATATGTATGTTACAGACATCGGTTCTCATTAAAGTATTTATTGCCAAAATCACTTTGGCTTTGTCTTCATTTACTATTTTCTCATTTTCCAACTCTTTAATTTACGTTGTGTTCTCTGGAAAGCAATAAAGAGAAGGTGACTATGATTTTAGGAGCTTACTGAAGTATTCAATAAGTTTAGCCTGGTAAATGTTTATAAATATATACTTTTCTTGCAAAGTAAAATATTTAATTTGTATCAATTTATTATATTAATTTATTCATTATACAGTATTCTTACAAACTTCATTCAAAAGAGCACGTGAAGATGCCATGGTTGTGGTTGTTTTGGGTAAATACGTTAAAAGGGGGGGGGAATGAAAGAATTAAAGGTATTTGCAAAGGAATATTATCATTTATAATAATTATATTATTTTAAACTTCCATCAGTGTATCTCTTTTGCCTTATTGGTCTGCCTACACTTTGAATGATATTTTGAACAACTACCGTCACTATTTCTTCAATTTTTATCAAATTTATAATAAGTTTTTGCTTTAGATTGAGTTGTTCATTCATTCAACAAATATTTACTGGGAAAAAAGAAGGTGACTATGAAATTGAGTTTGGACTCTTAAAGCACATTTATGGGAAAGACTAAGTACATTGTGCTTTCCCACTGCCATTCGTTGTCACAGTGCCACTCGCTCGTAAACATCAGACAAGTGGTTCTTTCCTAAAGAATGAATAAACAAACGAGGCACATTTGGAAGTTTCCACAGATGAAATGCTGAAAGAGGCTTAAAATCGAATCCTGTGTCCAGGGTTCTAATTGTCTTACAGGCAAAAAGTTCTGGCTACTTTCTTGTACTAGAACAGTGACTACCATATTGTAGGCAAATATTTGTGAAATGAATAGTTTAGTTCTTCATCTTTATCCATTCATTGATTTGTTTGACAAACATTCATTGTGTGTCTATTATAGATGCTGGGGATGTAAAAAGACATAGTCTCTGTTCTTAAGGTCACATTATAGTAGGAGAAACAGACAAGTAAGTAGGTAATTACAGTAGGTACTAAGTACTATCTGAGAGATGAACTAACTGCTTTAGAAACACAGAGGAGGGAACAGCCAGTTACCTAGGGGATTGTCCAAAGGCTTCATAGTGGAGGTGACATTTGTGCTAAAAAGCTAAAAAGCAGATGTTACCATGTAGATAAGGCAGGGAAGGACATTCTAGGCAGGGGGATGGGGGAAAGTTCAGCATGGCTGAAATCTAGGATTTTAGTTTTCAAATACCACGTGAGACAGAATTGCCTGGAGATCTTGTGAAAATGTAGATTCTTGCATCCTGTCACCTGAGATCCTAACATTATTTGGGGCAAAGGCATTTGCTTTTGTCACAGGCACTCGATGCAGGGTGGTCCTTAGATTACACTTTGAGAAGCACTTGTAAAGAAATATGGGCTAGGATGAAGGGAAATTAGAATAGTGTGGCCAAAAGGGTCAAATTGTGAAGCTTCTCTATATACGCTAAGAAAGAATATGGCTTTTATTCTGGAAAGGGGGGGCAGGCAAAGGCAGTTTAATATAGGGAATAATACAACCAGCTTTTATTTTTTAAGAAGATAATCCTTGTGTGGAGGATAGCCTGGAAGGGAGCAACCCCAAAAAAGGTTAAGACCCACTGAAATCTACTCCGTTTAAGTACAGGTAGACAAAAAGAGTCCAGAAAAGCTAATAAAATCTAAGTCATATCGCCTGATTGTGGCAGATTTGAGACTAGCTCATCATTATCAGATTCCTTCTCTGTCCCTTCTGCCACCCCACAGTGCATTCTTAATTGTCAGTTTAAAGTACTGCCTTTTCAAAATAAATTTTAATAGTCTATTTTTAAGAGGAGTTTTAGGTTCCCAGCAAAATTGTGTAGAAGGCATAAAGATTTCCCATATACCTCCTACCCCCACAACCGTGCAGCTTCCCCCTCATCAAAATTCCTCACCAGGGTGATTCATTTGTTACACTCAGTGAATCTACATTCGCACATCATTATCACCTCCCATCCATCATTTATATTAGGGTTCATTCTTGGTGTTACACTTCCTGTGGGTTTTGACAAATGTATAATGACATGCATCCCCCGTTACATATTGTACAGAATAGTTTCACTGTCCTAAAAATGCTCTGTGCTCTGCCTATTCATTCTTCCCTCTCCCTCAAGCCCTTGGAATCCACTGATCCTTTTACTGTCTTTATGGTTTTGCTTTTTCCAGAGTGTCATATAGTTGGAGTCATACCATATGTAGCCTTCTTAGATTGGCTTCTTTCACTTAGTAATATACACTTAAATTTCCTCCATGTCTTTTCATGCCTTTATAGCTCATGTTCTTTTTTTCCCTTCTGTATGTACCACAGTATGTTTATCCATTCATCTACAGAAGGACGTCTTGGTTGCTTCCAAGTTTTTGTAATTATGAATAAAGCTGCTATAAATATTCACGTGTAAGCTTTTGTGTGGACACAAGTTTTCAGCTCATTTGGGTAAATACCAAAGAGTGCAACTGTTGGAAGGTATAGTAAGAGTATGTTTAGTTTTATAAGAAACTGCCAAACTCTCTTCCAAAGTGGCCATATCACTTTGCATTCTCACCAGCAATGAATGAGAGTTCCTGTGGCTCCACATCCCTGCCAGCTTTTGGTGGTGTCAGTGTTTTGGATTTTAGCCATTCTTATAGGTGTGTAGTGATATTTCATTGTTTATTTTTAAGACTACTATGCTAGTCAGATACCCTACTCATTTCCAAATTGATGAGCAAAAACGAAGCCATTTTTTCACAGTAGTATAGGTTGAAAGATAGTTTCTTGAAGGGTTTATATATATTGGAGTTTCTTGAAGCGTTTATATATATATTGGAAATTGGCTTTCATTCACCTCAGTCTAAATGTTATTCCTTCAGAGAAACTGGCCATTGATTTCCTTTTCTACCAATTTAAATAACTTTCCTCATTATAATTTCTTGTACCATGTATTTCTAACTACATATTATATTTATGTGATTACTTGCTTAATAATATCTGTATCTCCCATCAGCCTGTGAATTCCATAAAAATAGAGATTCTGTTAATTTTGCTTACTGCTATGTTTTTAGTGCCTAGCAGTTATTTATACTCAGTAAATATTTGTTAAATGAATTGATCTGTATCCAAAGACCTGATGAAATGTCTAAAACATAACAAAGGTTCAGCAAATACTGTGAGCTTTAAATGGGATGAAACTAAATTTTGAATTGCTAGAAAATGGTGTGATGGTAGGTTATTGAGGGAAAAATAGAGGTGGTTGGGGAGATGCATGTATTCCTTTTAATGGATTATCCATTCATTCATTCAGCAAATATCCTTGCCTCATGGAGCTTATAGTCTATAGAAGGGAGACATAATAAAAAGATGGTGACAAATGCTTTATAGATAAATAAAGCAGGGAAGAGGGATGGGGAAAATAGGGGCAGGGTCGTACACTGAGAAGGCCAAATTTGGTTGAAGTCTATAGGAGATAAGAGAAGGAGCCAG